CATGGCGACGTGCGAGGCCAGGCGCAAAGCGAAAAGGCGAGCAGCGAATAAATTAAAGAGCCTATAAAGTGCCGAGCTTTTAGCAGTGAGAATCCATCAATTTGCCTCAATTGTTCTGCGAATAAATCAAAGCAGCGTTCCACATCGAAATTTCATACCGGCACGTACATATGTATGTAGTAAATGCTTGCTTTCCGCTTGTTTTTCAAGATCAAGCGAATGTTGCAACGCTTTGAAGTTACGCTTGATGGACCCATTCGAAATCGGAAGGAATTAATTTCGTATTCGCTTTCGAGTGACTTTGTACCCGATGTACATACATACATATGTGCATATCTAAGTATATATACATGCATATGCATGTAGAAATTCGAGACCGTGAGTTCGTAAGTGTGAATCTATGCGGTGGCTATAGAAAGGCTGAGGCGGTATATATACGAAATGGAATATTAATATGAAAAGGAATATGAATGTGTAAATGAATATGAAAAGGAATATGAGTTTGAATATGAATATGAATATAAATATGAAAATGAATCTTCTCTTTTATTGGCGCTGTAAACGCCCAAGCGATTATGGACGAGTCCACCTGGTCCTTCCAACGCAAAGAAGGCCTTACTCTTTCTCTGTTACCAGCATCGAGTTGAATACTTTCAGAGCTGGAGGGTTTCTGTTCATTCGTACAACATACCAAGCCAACGTAGCTGCTGTATTTTAATGCGCTGCACTATTTCTTTATCGTTTAAAGCTCATACGGCCCATCGTTAAATCGTCTGCGGTATTCGCCATCGCCAACCCGCAAAGGTCCGCAAATCTTGCTCTCGAAAACTGACTTATGAGTGTATTTTTTGTTCGACGAGAGAGGACTTTACTTCTCAACTTCGGTTTTAATGCTGGTGGCCAAATAAACGAAGTGGTCTACCTATTCAAACTTGTAATTGTCAACAGAAGCGTGGGTGCCATGAGGCTTTTGCTATAATTATTTGTGAGTTGACAGGATATACTTCGTTTTGTCCTCGTTCACCACCAGACCCATTCGCTTTGCTTTTCTATCTAATTCCGAGAAGGATGAACAGACGTAGCCCTTTTACCGATAACTTCGATGTCGTCGGCAATACACCAGCAATAGTACGCTCTTGTAAAGTATTGTACCTGAGTGGTTCAGTTCTGTGGGTCTTATTATATTATCCAACATCGAATTAAAGAAATCATGTGAAGGGGGTCACCTTTTCTGAAACCTCGTTTGGTATCAAACGGCTCGGAGAGGTTCTTCCTTCCCAATTCTGACGGAATTGCCATCAAAGCACTTCTAACCAGGAATCTACCCCAAGGTAACTATGTTCCGGGCTCCCAGTTTCTTCAGTACACTTTTGCTGCTATTCCCTAGGTATCCCTAATGTGAAGGTCAATTAGGTTTTTTAAGGGTTTGATTATAAATATATATAGGAGCTGAGGCAAATTGATCTATGCATTTCCATGTTTTCGTCGCTTTGGGTAAAACGTGACTTTACGTGAGGAAGAAGTGGACTCGCTGTCAATATCTTAATTGGGCAGGTTCTGCAATTCACTTCCGAGTGAATTTCATCTAAACTTACTTAGAATTAGTATTGAAAGGGGTTGAAATTCACTCGGATGTGAATTGCAGAACCTTCCTGAGTATTCCAGATGTGGATCCTACGCTCTCTTACACACGTCGAGCAACAGATAGGTAAGAGTTTCCCTCACAATGTTCTCACCACATAGCCCTTTTGTATCTTCTGACCTCAATATCGTAAGCAATTATAATAATAGATTACACATATGTTAGTGTTTGGCCGAGCCTCTCCTCCGACTTGTGGCGTGCGCCTTGAAGTTGTCACACAAATCGGAGGGACCTACAGTTTTACGCCGACTCCGAACGGCGATTGTATTTTAATGAGAAGCTGTTTTTCATGGCAGAAATACACTCGGAGGTTTGCCATTGCCTGCCGAGGGACGACCGCTGTTAAGAAAAAACCATTTTTTAAACATTTTTGGCGTTGTTGCTTTGACCAGGGCTTGCACCCAGACATTGCGTGGTGGAAGCGCGCACTGCTTACCACTACACCACAGCGTAAGCAATTAGAGCTGATTTATATGTTGCCCAATCATGAGTTCGTTTAACCCTATTGAATATTTTCCTCCAGAAGAGGAACCTTCGTTTGAGATTTTTTTATCTTCATTGAGCAACTTGCTTCGAATGCTGATCTGAGGTCGTCTTGCAGTTGCCCAGACTGGATTATGAGATCATGGACAGAAGTAGTTGATGTAGATGTGTTAGTTTTTCTGGGATTTCTATAAACGAGGTCAGTTTACTTTTGGGCTTCAATATGAAATTTAATATGCTGGTAAAATGCACATGCTAATCTTATGGGCAACGGAGACTTTACCTTAGGTTTTTTCAACAACTTATAAAAAAAAAAAATTTGTTCCGGCTTTTGCTTAAGGATAAATAAAGGCTAAAAAAAAGTAAAAAAAAAAAATAATATTTTAAAAAAGGCGGTCAGTATTTTTAAAGAGACCAGTTAATTGGTACTTTACCAACCGGCCCATTTTTGGCAAAGTTGTGGGTATTTAAAAAAAGAAAATAGGACTTTTTTGCATAAATCGATATATTGAGAACGGCTAGACTAAAACATTAAAAAAACCGGGGAGGCTTCTCTGAATTGGTAGTATAACATAAAAAGTTATGAAAAATATCGGAGATGTAAAAGCCAATTCGGTGCTGGAATGCCCCATATTAGGAATGTTTTTAAGATATAATTTAGGTAAATTAAAACCAAACATGGTTACGCTCAATGTGCGTCGAGAACTCGCATCTAGTTTGCCAAACACCAAATTCGTCAGCATAACACCTACCTAAGTCACATACGTAAATACATAAGTACGAAAAAACAAAAACATGTTTCAACACGCAGAAATCAAAAAAACTTTCTGCCGTATCCTGAGTTTTGTCCGAAAAAAATTCACCGAAAATTTGTCATCCGCCCATAGTAAAACCATGGAAACCAAAAGT